ACAGGGCCATACATTACAAGATTTCGGTCTGCTAAATCAAATAAATATTTTCTCTAATAAATTATAACTTTTTTTTTATTGTATCAACACAGTTGAGATTATTTATTAGTTACCTTTGAAGTGTCTGACTGAAATAAATTATTGCGCATAAATACTTAAACAATCAAGTTATAAATTAATAAGGTGTCCAATAGCTTTTAAAACTCTTTATATGGCTCGCTTATATTTCATTGCTTTAAAATTTGAAGGTAATAATGCTTTTTAAATCATGTACCATATTTGTTTAATTTACATTTAAAACAAGACCTTGAAATAAAGTAAAGTTTTCAATGAAGAATCCGTGCAAATGATGTCTAATGGCCGATCAGTACAAAAGCGTTTTGATGGCTTCGCCTTGATGAATAGATTTTGAAGACAATATGATCCTTTTCCATTCTGCGTTCTCTTTTCAGAGCAAATACTTGAGTGTACTTATTTGAATTAACAAATGTATCAAAGACAATTTATTAGTTAAAAGATCGAATGTTTGAGTACAAAATATTCGATAATAAAATATCCTACATCACTAACAATACACACGTCTCAATTCACAGATGTCATATTAATAGCCATTCAGAATGTTTCATTTTTTCATTATAACGTGTTTTTTTGTTTTCATGTCATGGAAATACATATTTTAATGGGAAAAACGACTTTTAACTAAATATTTACTAATTTAAAGTTATAATTAATTATGAAAGGATATTATTTTATTTATACTTAATTATTTTTTAATTATATTTAATAATTCTATTTTTATATTTGTTATTTTTATGGTTTATTACTTTTGTATGTTTATATTTAGCTATTTTTTATGGATATATTTAATTATTTCATTTTATTTTAAATCCAATTATTTTAATTTGAAAAAGTTTCAGTTCAAACAAGAGAAATATTTTTTGCTGTTTTGTTTGTTTCTTGGTTTCAAACCTCAATATATAAAATTTTTAAAAATAATTTCTCTTTCCAAAAACATTTATCTCGATGGATTTATTTAAAATAAAATAATACATCACTCTCACATAAATTAAAAATTAAATTATGGATAAAAATGCTACTCGATTTTCATTTAAGTCTGGCAAAAATTGAAAATTGGTTGTTGGCTGAATGTTAAGTTTAATGGACCTAGAGGCGTAAGCGACTATGCTGCGATCAATTTAAACGCTCTTACGTACTCAAGATATCAAATAAAATGGTGTTATATACTATGTTTGATGTAAAAAATTTTGAAAATAAAAACCACAAAAGTTATGAGTGGGACTAATTTTAAACAAAAAGATTAAAAAAATAATTAAAAGGAATAAATATGAAGAAGTATAGAGGCCACTAATATGAATGTTTTTTTTTTTAAATATATGGCTCAGCTTTACAAAAGTTTGCTTCTTAAATACACTTGCCATTGTTTAGGTGGGGGGAAAATCCTTTATTAATTTTCAATTTTTTTTAAAATTACTCAGATTAGCCATATTTTTTCAGACTGATTTTCAGCAATTAGTTTTCAAATAAATGTAGCTATAGTACGCGCAAAAATACTTTTAGGAACAAAAATACTTTTGTACCTAAAAGTACATAAATCTTAAGTTTTGAATGATGATCATATATAGCAATATAAAGGGTAGATAAACCCATTAAGGGGTTCAGGAGACATTAAGGAAACTTAAAAATTTATGCATTCTTCAGAATTTTTTCTGTTGTTGCTCCATTATGTATTATAAATTTGTTTTTTGTTTTTTTTTTCACGAGTTTTTTTTCGAAAAAAATAGAATTACGAAATATTTTTTTAAATTTTAATGAAATTCATTTCCTCGAAGAAGTGACGATAGTTATTTTATCCCTTTGACGGAATTTCTGCTCGGAGGACCAGGAAACCGTTTCGTCAAACACGAAGAAAGTTTCGTTATATTTGAGTATCATTTTTTATACGGTATCGTTTGAAAGCTAATCAATTAACTTAAATGATTCAGGCACAAAATCAAACTTACTTTTAAAAATATACATTCTTGGGTTATTCGGAAAGTAATTTCGTTTTTTTTCCAACAGAACACTTTATATTTTTTTCTCAGCCCACTTCACATTCAAGTCGATCATTATAAATTCTGAAAGCTGATAAAAGAAGGCTTACTTGCCTATATGCTCGATTGATTCTATTCGGTAGATTTTGGTAATTGCCCTTTCAAATATGGATAGTGCATTTTTAACTGTAACAAAATTTCTGCAAAACTTTTTAGACGGTAAAACTTTTATCCCAAATGAGGAAGTCAAAAATCACTTGGTTCATTTTTTTTCCAGCTAAGAGCAAAAATTTTATGAACATGGAGTCCTGCTACTGCCAGAAAGATGGCAAATAGTATTAGACCAAATTGGATAATATGTAATTCAATAAAATATTTTTTCGTTGTAAGAAAACCATCTTTAATTTTCAATAAATAAAAACATTAGTTTTCGAACAACTCAATACTTCTTTCTTTTTTCTCCTTCGATGGATTGGGAGTCATTACCTTCAGAACTTGCGCATTCAAGTTGAGAATTTAAGTTAAATTGACATAGCATGGAATGTTTGAAAGGAATAATGGGTATAGTTCAAGCTTGTTAAAGAAAATAAGCATAGCGTTTAAAAAAAAGCCATGGCATTTTCCCTAAAATTAAACGATTAGGATTATAGTATTTTAAAATAATTAACTAGTAATTATTAATCAATAAATGTTTGAAGAATTAACCGGAGGGATTGGGAGTTTTTACCTTGAGCGTTCAAATTGTGAGTTTAAGAAAATGGACATAATCATGGAATGCTTGAAAAAAAATTGGCATAGATCAAGCTCGTTAAAGAAAATGGGCATAGCTTTTTGAAAAAAAAAAAGCACAGTATTTATTCCTAAAATTAAATGATTAGGATTATTATATTTTAAAATAGTTAACTAGTAAATAATAATTATAAATGTTTAAAGAATTAACGAATTTTTGTATATATTCGGCAGGTGCCTTCTCGAGAATAACGTATATGTTAGCAAAAGTTTAGTTTGTTTTTTAGCATTCAACAGATTAATTTTGTCCTATGTCTAGTTTAATTGACGCACACTTAGTCTCAGTACATTTTGCAAATGTGTGTTTCAAGCTGTGTCGATTTTCTTAAACAAGTTTTTTTTTCAGGTATATCCAAAATAAAAGGTTAAGTGTATATCCAATATCCAAAAACCAAAGTGCGAATGGCTTACAAAATTATATTAATGAGCCACATTCCTTCAAATGAAGACAATTTTACTTCAAATTGTTCCTTAATATTGTTTCTATGTAGATACGTTACGCTTTCGGAATTTTCTGCGTAACACATGACACAGAAACATCTCACTGCCTGCATAAAAACTGTGACGTATATTACTAAAAATGTTTGAGAAAACAATTAAAAAAAGTGGCTTATTATTACATTCTCACAAACCTTTAATATCATCTAGCAACTCAAAAAATAGCATCAATTTAATTTAACCAGGGGTACCCAAATTTTTTTACTTAAAGGCCAGACTGATTTATCCACTATGTCCCAAGGACTGAAACGTAGCCAGAAAAGCATTATTCATATGAGATGTGCTAATTTGACACTAAATTCTTTTACGTTCTTTAAAATCATTCTCTTCAATGTTCATCATAAAACAATTGTGAATAAAGTATCGTAACATATTAACTAACTGTCAAGCATTCAAAATTTATATGATATCCTGTACAAAAAGAATCAAAGACTTACTTGAATTACTTAATTCCCTAGTAGGTTTCATTTGCTTGTGATTCTCTAAAAACTTTTAAAAGAAAATATAATACTCAGCGCTTCCAATACACGTCTCTTAAATATTCACCACCAAAAATTTTAAATGAAGTTTGATAAAATACTTTAAACTAATTTTTAAACATTTAAATTGTATTTTCTGGCTGGTACAAAACAGAATGCATTTGTTTAACTGCACAAAATAGAATGAAAGATTTACTTGAATTATTTAACTCCCTCGCATATTTCATTTGTTTATGATTCTCTAAGAGCTCTTTAGAGTAAATATGATACACAGGGTTTCCAATACACGTGTTTTAAGTGTTCAACACCAAAACTTTTAGATGAAGTTTAATGAAATACTTTAAACTAAGTTTTAAACATTTAAAATGTATTTGTTTAAATTGCACTAAAAAGAATCAAAGGTCTACTTGAATTATTTAATTCCCTCGCATATGTCATTTGTTTATGTTTCTCTGAGAGCTCTTTAGAGTAAATAGGATACTCAGCGTTTGCAATTCATATCTCTGAAATGTCCAACACCAAAAATTGTAAATGAAATTTTGTAAAATTCTATTAACTAATTTAACGCTTAAAATGAATTTGTTAACTGGTACAAAACAGAATTAAAGACTTAACTTGAATTATTAAATTCCCTCCAATATGTCAAATGCTTGTGATTCTCTAAAAACTCTTTAGAGTAACTATAATACTCAACAATTTCAATACACATCTTTTAAATGTTTATCTCCAACAATTGTAAATAAAGTTTTGTAAAATACTTTAAATTAATTTCCTTTTCGTAACAAATCAGAATCAAAGACTTACTTGAATTATTAAATTCCCTCGTATATGTCAAATGTTTGTGATTCTCTAAAAACTCTTTAAAATAAATAAAATACTCAACAATTCAAATACATATCTCTTAAATGCTTTTCCCAAAAAATTGTAAATAAAGTTTTGTAAAATACGTTAAACTAATTTCCTTTCTGGTACAAAACGGAATCAAAGACTTCCTTGAATTATTAAATTCCCTCATATATGTCAAATGTTTGTAATTCTCTAAAAACGCTTTAGAGTAGATATAATACTCAACAATTACGATACACATATTTAAACGTTTATCACCACAAAAATTGCAAATAAAGTTCTGTAAAATATTTAAAACTAATTTCCTTTCTAGTACAAAAAAGAATCAAAGACTTACTTGAATTATTTAATTCCCTCGTAGGTGTCATTTTATCTCTTGAGTCCAACGCTAAAATAGCATTCACACCAAATTTCAAATCGGTTCTTTTAGTAGTTTCTATTTCTCCATTATTTAAAAAAGTAGGTGACAAAGGTACCGGTCGGGCCAGAGTCCGAGTCCTCAACAAATTATCAACGTAGAAGTCTTTACTTCCTCTACCGCAAGTGGTCGTCGGACTGACCGCTGGCGAGGGCACGCCACCTCGGACGTAGGGTGTGCTATGCATCTCCGGCATCGACCAAAACACTTCTAACTCAACAACTCGATCCTCCCAAATAAGAAGTATTTAAAGCCGTCAAATTTGAAATGAATAAATAAAAGCTTGCATAGATTTCGTAATACGCGCACAAAGAAACCGATAACTCGTGGTTTTAGTTCGCTTCTTAAGTTACTGAACATGAGTGCGTGAGAACAGGAGCGCTGATTGGTTGAAAGCGGGGCGAATGGGATGCTCTACATCTTCAGCTTCTTTGGGATGCTTTTGGGATGCGGAGAGCGCGCGCAGAAGTGATGGGGATAGGAAGGAAGAATGCGCGCGGGTTGAATGTATGAATAAATCATACGAGATAAACTACTCGCAAATCAGAGGCAAAAAAGGAGGCCATTCTTTCGGCGGAGATATTTATTTGTGAGAATATTGTGATCCGCGCGCATTTCGAAGGTTGATAAATCTTCGCAGATGGGATAAAAAATGTTAGAGGGAAATAAAAAACCGAATGATATAAATATTTTGAATGTCTCCCAGATAGCGATATTTGGGGGATTTTGAATTGACAAATAAATATGAACAATTATTTTTATTTAGTTTGATATTTTGAAACAGTTAATTAATTGAGAATATTTTTTAAAAAAAATTATTTCGTTTTTTTATCATCTTAGAACACTACCAAACTACCAATTCATGTAAGGCATTTATGAAATTAAAATATTCATTACAGTATCTTTGTAATTTTAAATTCGATTCAGAAAATAAAGACTCTTTTGTGTCAAATATCTGGTAAGCAGGGGAGCCAGCCCCTCTGCGGAGGGGATGACTCCCCCTCTTGATAGTTTGACGACCTACACGCGAAGTCGAGCCCTTTATGGTAGAACAGTTTAACAAGGACCATACCGTGCATCCCAACGCAGGCTGATTAAAGTGGTCACCTACCCGCTTCCGCAGCCAGTGATGTTTATAACTTCGGTGCTCTACTGTGAAAGGCGTCTTAACGATCAATTCACTGCGGGACGTCAAATATCTTGACTAATTTGCCTTCACGAAGAGCTTCCGTTAAATAAGAAGAGAAGTTCTAAAACAATAAACTTATCATTCATCGTTAGCTTGATAGGACTTCACACCTGTAATTTGCTCTTTACTGAATTTTTTTTTATCAGAACAGTAATAGATTGCATAGTTGACTAAAATCTCTTACAAGGTCATAAATGAATTCAATATTTATATTTTCGTCATTTACATACCATATTTCTATTTTTTTATATGTTTTGTGAAACATTTAAAAGAGTTATTAAAAAATTTGTAAAAATAAACACATGTAAGGGCTTTGACTAAAAGCTTCTTTTTGGTACTGCGAATTCAGTAACTACAATAATTTTTATTCTAGTGTAATCAAATACAGTAATTAAGCCCCTCTGGAATTTTGGAGAAAAAAATTGTCTTCCTGGATGTTGCTCAAAAATTGCTGAGCCCCTAATGAGGGAAAGAGTTTTGACTTGCTTTTTCTTGCTGACAAGGGGGTAGGAGCAATGCTACGTTAGACAATAAAATCCCCTTGATTTTCAAAATTTTATTAAAAAGTAAAATAAAAAATGCAACTAAAAATACGTGGAAGAAATTCAAAATTAGATTAAAGGATGAATTTGGCGCCCTAAAAAATTGGAAAAATTTCTTCAAAGAATTTTAGTGGTCATGATTTTTGAGCACGACAAGGAAGCATAAAAGATTCGTAAAGAATATACTATTCAAAATTTCACAAAAGGAACTAAAAAGTAAATTTTGTTTCATGCAAAATGACATCTTTTATTTGAATTTAATCCTAAGATTAGACTGCTACAGTAAAAATAAAAGCAAAAATTAGGGGGGGTGACTTTCTCCTTTAAGCAGGGGGGGTTGTGATTTGTTTATTTTTGCAGGCAAAAGGAGAAGGAGACAGCAAAATTGCGAAAAATATGCTTACGTTATATTTGAACAACCACCTGAACAATATCTTAAAATGATATACTTGATGGTTAATAAACAAGAAAAATATAATCTTTTTAATCTATTTCATTGCATATAGTTCTTTTATATTAATATGTGATTTTTTTTGGGGGGGGGGAAGGAAAGAAGCATAATATTTTTTTATTAAACATACCATTCATTCAAAAATTAACAGATAAAGAAACTCCAACAGCTCCTGTGGCTATTCGTATTGATAATGAAAAGGAAAATATAGTTTTTCCCAGTAGCTTAGGTATTACTAGTTCAGGCGTACACTCTCCGAAAAGAAATGCTTTGAAAAATACGCTGTACAGTGCGTAAAAAAAGTAAATAAATAACTGGACTATCCTAAATAACTTTTGTCTAAAGATCGGATCTTCACGTCCTAGGACTTAATCTTAATGGTTTATTGGGGTGACCTCAAATATGCTAATTAGTTAGTGCTGACGATATTTTAAGTTATGAAATCAGACACAAAAGCGTACTTTCTCTTAATAAAGATACCTTTTCTTCGGAGTATTCAGATTTCTGACCCCCAAAATATAGGATTACCCGCAATCTGGGAAATGCGGTCCCAATAGTTTGGTCCGGAGAGTGGTTGAAAATATGGATGTGTCAATTTTACTTTTCACGTATTTCATCATATCTCGAGAGCTTTGCACACAATAATGAAATTCGTTTATCCAAGGATAAATTGCAAAATATAATTTTCAGCAAATATTTATTATTTTATTATTTCATTTAATAATAGTCGAAAAAATTTGAAGGCAATTTTAATTGAAGAAGGCAGGAAATTCAAGAAGGCAATTTTAAATGGCAAAATGCAAAATTTGAGCTACCACCAATCTAAAGATGCATTTTTCAATTTGGAGAAAAGAGCTCGATTAGATTTAAAAATATTATAGTTCGTTTTAAATGCTGTTAAATTTAGTTTCCCTGGAGAATAGGCAGATCAATTTTTTAATTTGTCATTGACTAATTTCCTGTAATTTACACTTTGCTTATTAACACTTTACCGACCAAGCAAATTGGTCCTGAGTATAAACCAGCCACTGCGCTACTAATGTTCAACTCTGTAGCTTTGTGATTTTGAACCCATATCCAGAAGACAAGAGAACTCCTGGATCAAATATTGGGAGAAATTTGGCCTTTTTGGAGGACTTTTTAATGGAAATAACCTGCATTTGCGTTACATGGTGTGAAAAACCACGAAAATCTCCCATGGGTAGCCTAACGGCAAGGGGAACCGAATCCATGTTTCGTCTACCACTGAGAATATTTTATATCCACACTATGGTTGGTGCGACCTGGGTGCGGAATTGGTATCGACCAGCCATCGCTGGGATTCGAACTCGGTTCAACTCATTGGAAGGCGAATGCTTTATCTCTTAAGCCACCACGGCTCCTGATACCTTATTAGCCTTACACTTAAAATACAATAGTCTATGCTTTTTTTTCTGTTAGTATGCTTTTACGAAACGAAACCTTAAAATGCAATAGTATTTACTCTCGTTGGTCGAAAATTTTCATTACAATGAAAAAGAGTAGAAGTTTGATTCAACTAACCTTATTAACAGTTCTTCGTCTTATAAATATCTAATTTGAGTCTTGTGGATTTTTTTTCATGCATATATAAAGAATTACGCTATAAAAGCATTCTGCAATATGCAAAAAATGCTCAAAATTAAAATTATCACTTTTTTTATTCAAGAATTAAAATTAATTGAAAAATAACAATTAAGTTTAATTAATTAAATTTGTAAAAATATATATTTATATTAATTTTACATTCGTTTTAGCTACATATTTCTAAGTAAAATTATTTAAATAATTTAATTTCCTAATAATATATTTTTATATAAATAATCGATTCCAAACATTATTACGGTTTTATATCATAATTCGTAACACCCGCCCAAGGAAAACTGTACTCAGATAGAGCGCCTAGTATGAAAAGTTTTACACGTAAAGTACTAAACTATGTATTAAGATTCCATTTGCTTTCGGAACGATGAAATTGTTTTGGTACAATTAAAAATAAAAAATAAAAAATTTAAAAAAAAACATTATGCAAAGGTCACTACATATAGAGATATGAGGTTTTAAACATACCATGCAGATATTCATAGCTATTTAATTAATGGTTAAAGCTCGAGCCCTAGAATGTAAAAGTGGTAAAACAATTTATTGAGCAGATAGTTCTACAAATGATGGAATTCAAGATCGGTTGTATAATTTAAAAATTTTAATTTTCTAAATAATATTTAATTTTTAATAAATAATATTTAATGAAAATTAAATATTATTTAAATATTTAATTTCTAATAATATTTAATTTTCATTTGAATCCTATGTTACTTCACATTTTACAGACACTTGTTCTGATTACCTCTTTTAAATAAACCCGTGCCATACATAATATTCCTTTCAGAATAAAACTCTCCTCAAGTCGTTTACATCATGTTTAGATATTGTATCTCATAATAATATTTAATTTTTATTATCAAATAATATTTCATTTTTATTAAGTAATATTTAATAAAAATTCAATATTATTTAAATATTTAATTTCGAATAATATTTAAATAATATTTAATTTCGAGTAATATTTAAATAATATTTAATTTCGAGTAATATTTAAATAATATTTAATTTTTATTTGAATCCTATATTACTTCCCATTTTACTGACACTTGTTCTGACTACCTCTTTTAAATAAACCCGTGCCATACATAATATTCCTTTCACAACAGAACTCTCATCAAGTCGTTTACAACATGTTTAGGTAAATGCGGGTTCAATACAATATTGACACTTTTATTTTCATGTTTTATTTGGTTTTTCTTGGTTGTAATCCTTTTTGACTTTCCGTCAAATATAGTTTATAGCACTAATAATTAGGTGAGTACGTATAAACTTTTCGAATTGTCGCAGCATAGGCGCATCCGGCTTCGATGTCATTAAACAACGTATATACATTCAATCCAATTCGATTTAACGCTGCCGAATATATCGCTTGTTAAATTCTTGAAAAAGAGCAATTTTACGAAATTTACATTTGAGGAATCTTGATTTCATTCTTTTATAAGATACGGTAGTCGGGTATTCCCGAGTGCCGGGGTAGGGCCGTGTATGCGCCGGTGTGGGGGAGCACCGGCCGTCAGCTGGCGCTGACAGCGTTTTTCCTGATGAATGGGGGAAGTGCGGGCCCTGCCACGACCAAGCCGGCTGCTACCGCTTGTAATAACGGTGAATAATAACGCTTTTGGCTTGGATGTAATCTATGCTGTCTTTAATGACTGTT